GTATTTTGTTTGATTTGTTACCTGCAGCTTCCATGGATGTTGATTGTGGAACCAAGTAAAATGAAATTCTTGAAAATGTCATTCTTTTCTCCAGTTATCATGATGTTGCTTATTGAGCCAGTTGTGAGGATTTTTATTTTCTTTAGGGTGAGGTGTAATTCATACTGAAGTCTGTAGTCTTTGATCTTCATTAGTAAGTGCTTCAAGACCTCTTCACTTTTAGTAAGCCAGGTAATGTCATCTGCCTATTTAAAGTTTCTAATGAGTCTTCCTCCTGTCCTGATGCCACGTTCTTCTTCATTTATAGTCCATATTCCCAGATTATTTCCTCAGCATACACATTGAGTAAGTATGGTGAAAGGAAACAACCATGATGTACACCTTTCCTGATTTTAAACCACTCAGTATCCCTTTGTTCTTTTTGTATGACTGCCTCTTGGTCTATATATGGGTTCCATATGAGTACAGTTAAGTGTTCTGAAATTCTATTCTTCATAATGTTACTCATAATTTGTTATGATCCAGACAGTCAAATGCCTTTGCATAGTCAGTAAAACACCAGTAAATGTCTTTTTGGTATTCTCTGTTTTCAACCAAGATCTATCTGACATCAGCAGTAATATCCCTTGTTCTGTGTCCTCTTCTGAATCTGACCTGAATTTCTGGCAGGTCCCTGTCAGTATACTGCTACAATTGTTTTTGAATTATTTCAGCAGAATTTTACTTGAGTGTGGGACTTTATTGTTCAATAATCTCCACATTCTGTTGGATCATATGTCTGTGGAAGGAACACAAATAGAGATCTCTTCCAGTTGGTTACCAAGGTTGGCTGTCTTTCAGATTTCTTGACATAGACGAGTGAGTGCTTCCAGTGTTGCATCTCTTTGTTGAAACATCACGGTTGGTCTTCTGTCAATTCCTGGAACTTTGTTTTTTATGGATTCCTTCAGTGCAACTTGAACATCTTCCTTTAGTACCATCGATTCTTGATCATATACTACCTCCTGAAGTGGTTGAACATCAACTAACACTTTAGAACAGTGACTGTGTCTTCCTTCCATCCTCTTTTGATACTCTTTGCATCAGTCAGGATTTTGCCCATAGAATCCTTCAGTATTGCATCTCAAGGCTGAAAGTTTTTCCTCTGTTCTTTCAGCTTGCAAAATGCCAAGCATGTTATTTTGGTTTTCTAACTCCAAGTCTTTGCACATTTCATTATAATACTTTATTTTGTTTTTTTAAGTTGCACTTTGAAATCTTCTGTTCAGCTCTTTTACTTCATACATTTTCTTTAGCTGCCAAATGTTCAAGGGCAAGTTTCACCTGTCTTTCATTTTCATTTTTTATTTCTTTCCTATCTTTTTAATCTCCTTTTTCTTTCTTCAGGAGCTCTGATGGCATAGTGCCTAAGGCGTTTGACTGCCAACCAGAAGGCAGGTGGTTCAAACCCCCAGCCACTCCTCAGAAAGAAGACTGGGCAATCTACTTCTATAGAGATACTGCCTCAGAAACCCAAGGAGAGGTTGCTATGCGTCAGAATTGACTTGATGGCAGTGAGTTTGGTTTTAGTTTTGAATTTTGCTTTCTTCATGTAATGTTGTTAGGTGCCGTCAAGTTGTCTCCAACTCATAGCAACCTCATGTATAGCAGAACGAAACACTTGTCTGGTCCTGTGCCAGCCCCACAATCCTTGCTGTATGTGAGCCCATCACTGCAGCCACTGTGTCAATCCATCTCATTGAGGGCCTTCCCCTTTTTCATGGTCCCTCCACTTTGCCAAGCATGGTATCATTCTCAGGGAATGGTTCCTTCTGACAACATGACCAAAGTAGGTGAGACAAAATTTGTCTGTTCTTGCTTCCAAGGAGCATTCTGGCTGCACTTCTTGCAGGAGAGATTTGTTAGTCCTTCTAGAAGACTGTGGTACTTAGGATTCTTATCCAACACCACAACTCAAAAGCATCAACTCTTCTTTGATCTTCGTTATTCATTGTCCAGCTCTCACATGCATACAAGGCGATTGAAAATACCATAGCTTGTGTCAAGCTCACCTTAGTCTTCAAGGAAACATCTTTGCTCTTCAGCACTTGAAAGAGGTCCTTTGTAGCAGATTTGCTCAGTGCTATATGATGTTTGATATCTTGACTGCTGCTTCCATTAGTATTGATTGTAGAACCAAGCAATATGAAATCTTTGACAACTTCAATCTTTTCTCCATTTATCATGATGCTGCTTATTGGTCC